CGAATGGCAAGACAGCAAATTCCGAATGTGTGATTACTTTATCTGAAATCGTTGAAAAGTATCCATAATCCGTTCAAGTGTTATTGTTGATTTTTTTATCTGTCTTTACCCAATTCAAGTTCCAGATTTATAGGTCCAGGTTTTCATTTAAATTTTAAATACCACTACTCCTCCTACGAAAGTCAATTGAAAATTTAATTAAATAATTTGCTTAAGTCACCGGCAAACACCTTATAATTCAAATCCATTCATCAAGCAAAACATATCGTTTGTTTTATGGACTTGCCCATTTGTTTTTATTAGATTTGCCCAACACCGTGTTAATCGGCCATAAGTCTGGTCCCCAACTCATTGATTGCATGTACTTGATATATTAAGAATATCGGCTTAGAGTGCCCCGTCCTGCTCGCACTTTATGACAAACGCTCTAGGTAGCCAAGTTCGTTGCCTAAGTCTTTTGTATTGCGACTGGGCATGCAAATATTTGCATATAGATTTACACACCCACGGGCCGAGTCACAGTGCGCCTTGGCAACAATGGGCCGCCAGAGCCTCCTTGGCTTGTTAATATATGTAGCTATATAGATACGATGCCAAACTTTAAATATATTACACTCTAATGCCTTTTAAGCCGAAACTATAAATTTCTTATCGCCGATCGAAAATCAAGCGTGCTCACCGCAAGTCACAGTCAAAAAGCAAAGCCAGGTTTCTGGCCACTGGCACTGGGACTCCGGACTGGATAGAAAACTGAGGCTGCTGAGGCTGCAGAGGCTGCTGAGGCTGAAGCACACACCCTAGTTGGCTCACTCGTGCGTCATATTCAAATGCGGCCAGATCCAGCTTTTCAGCTCCGGCTCCAGGTCGCAGATTGCGTCCGCCAGATAAGCGAACGCCAGCGCCACTGTTTCGATGACTACGGGACTTCGACTACTCCGACTGCTCCGACTATGGCATTCTTTCAAAGGCCGTTTCGCTGGAGCAGCAGCGCTAACGGATCGGGCTAGCAGGAACCGCCAGGCCATAAATGGCCAAAATGCATGCGCTGCCTTAAACAGTCAAATGTGTGGATAATAATTTTGATTTATTGCCACAGCATCGCGGCCAACGAGCCACCGCAATCGGCAATCTGGGCTAGATAGCTCAACTATGGCCTGGCCATTGTGGCCATTATCAGGGGAGGCTCAACCTGCTGTTTGATTTTTCTTTTTACCCCCCTCTTTTTTTCTTTTTTTTTTTCATTTTTGGGGCGTGTGCTGCGGCATGGGGCGTGTGCCTAACATGCTAATGAGCCAACTTTCAGTGGACCAATCGCCGAGCGGCTAGGCGGCTAACAATGCCCACGTTTGCTAACAATATGAATTTTAAGGTCTCGCTGTTTTTATTTTTTGTCTTTTTCGTGTTCGAATACCTTTTTTGCATAATTTATACATTTTGCGGTAGCCCAGAGTGACCGCAACTCTTTCCCGTTTTGCCTGCATTTTAATTATGAAACCAACTCGTGCCAGACGCCAAATCGAATCGAATGGAATCGAATCGATAATTTGCATGAGCAACGCCCAAACGCCCGAAATTTTGCACAATCAACACAATAATTACAATTGACTTGTGTGTTTTTTTGTATGCACAGTTGTCTAGCCCAAGAAGTTTTCTTCTGGCTGAAAAGAAATGAAAGTCGTCCGCCTTACTTTCTCGGCGTTTATCAGCCCGTTCGGCATTCGTGTTCGCTTATCGCCAGCAGCAGCTGCAGAGTCATTCATCTTGTGGCCGGCAAATGAATCTGCAAATAAAGCTGTTGCCCCGGTGATCTGTCAGTTGTACTGCGGCAGCCTCTTTTAATTGCAGGCCAAATTGAAGCTGACATTTATGCCTGCACTCCATTTCGAATCCCCTCCCGATCTCTCTCTTTTTCTGGCCAAGCTAATTGCCCAGAATGTTGAGATTTCAGTTGGGTACTGAGCACTGAAATGCTGACTGTTGAAATGCTGAAAATCCTCCTCTAACGGGAGTGGGCCACAAATGCAGACGATCACATGCAAATTGAGCTGTTCGGGGATTTGTTCGGAGTAGTTGCAGTTGTACGCACAATTAGTGTTAGTCGTTTGCCCGGGACAACACTCAATGGCAATTAGGGTCGGTCGGCGTACGAGTCCATTGCAAAATGCCAGCAAATGTCAGTGTGTTTGTTGGCCGGGGTATCTGTGTGACAAGTGTGCGCCTTGTTGTTGGCCAGTCGACAGGGGCACGCAAATTGTAATTTATGTGACAAATTTTTATGTACCACTAGCGAAAATTTATTGGCAACCGAGGCTTGCCAAGATTCTCCGGCGAGTCGAGGCACCTGCAATTTATGAAGAGCCACTAAAGGCTCCTCGTGTTGGTCGTTAAATGATGGAATCGTTTCGGAAGTGAATCGAACCGATAGTGATCAGGCTTTAACCCAGACTTCATCAGTAGATCTTTTTTGGAGCCATTTAGGCCAACTAAATAGGTGCATCAATAAAAATGCCATGGACTAGAATCTAAAGAATGGAGAATTATTTGATTTATGCATCTGGTCAGTTGTGCCTAATTAGGAATTTTCGTTAAACAGCTCAAGTTGACTGACACATATTATTTGTGCTGTTTGAAGTTTTACTGAAAATTCAAGACATTTTCCTATTAGTTGTAAACATTTAACTGGCAGTAAATTGCTGGGAAAACACTAAAATGTCCGCAAATTCTTTCTATTTTCTCTATTTTTTTGTTCTCACCCATTCAATTCCGATGCTCATCTTCCTGGAAACAAACACCTTCGATTGCACTCGAGAACGAACGGTGGAAAGATGGACTCGAGCACTCGAGGCTGGCATCATCGGCGAACGGCAGGCCGAGATTCCAATCCATTCATGCCGGAAGCGATTCATTCACAACGTGTTGACTCCAAACAGGTGTACGCAGGCCATAAGCCAAGTCACATTCGGCTATCATTTATCACTTAAGCCGCAGCAGCGACTTAAGCCAAATCTACGAGTATTTAAGCTGGTAAAGTGTTCGAAGCGTCTTTGTCCGGCTATTTGTCAATGATGCAAGCTTATGGCTTCGTCCGATAGAATTTCCCAAGCGAACCCATTCATTAACTGCTGTCCGTCCGACGCAGCGGGACGGCTACCAAATAGAAATCAATATAAATATTTCGGATTTCGTGCTTAAGACAAAACAAAACGAATTAGACGCATTTAAAAACACCGATCAAAATCGATTTGCATTTAAAATCGAATCAGAGATTTCTAATTTCGGGCTACCACCACTGGCCAAGACAATAAAACGCCCACGCTTGGGCAATAGATGCGAACCAGTTTATAGAGCTGGCTCATCAGTCATTTTGATTACCACAAATAACCGGAGCCAGGCAGCCTTTTATTTGCCTCTGCCATTGATGTCAAATAAATTGATCGCCGCTGAATGCCTTTTTAAATTCCTCAACTTACAGTTTTTTGTGGCTGCTACTGTGGCTTTTCGGTTGGTCTTTAGCTCCATTTGATGGTCCAGTTTGAGGCAGTGACTCTGACATATTGCCTGACAATCTCAGTGAAACAATAAACACACCACGGCTCTAGAATCATGCATAGCATTAAGCCAGTCTAAGAGTAGCAAAAGGTCAAGACTGGGAACTCGTTTTGTCATTTGCCAAAAATACAAAAACATCACTGAGGCAGAGATAAAATAAATAGCTTCAAAATCGAATTAATAAAATTCAAATTATTAAAACTGGCCATTTCCTGTTCGAACTAAAGCTGAAACACAAACAAAGCACAAAAACACAAGGCATTGACGACAAACAAATAAAACAAATTCCAGTCATATGTGACCCAATTTGTTGAAAGGAGGAAAAACGAAATAAATAAAATTCATTTGTCCGGCAGTGTAATTTATTGCATGTTTTGCTCATTAAATTGATTTTTCTCCTTTGATTTTGAGTGCCAGTGTCATTGCCAAAAACTGGGGACACGGACTTAAGCCCGGAGAAACCAAAACCAAGGAGTTCGAGAAGACCACGAATGTTTGTCTGTTTGTACTGCAGTTGCTGCTGCTGTTGCACTTTTCAGCACGCTCGAGTTTCATAAAAAATGCCAATTAAGCGTGAATATAAGTGCCAGATAATTTTTCAGACAGCAGCCAATGTAACCCAAATTGCCAAAAAACGCGAAAGACTTACAACAAAGCCAAAACAAGCAACAGGAGCCGAAGGTAAAAAGTAAAACCAAAAAGTAAAACTCATTTTTCAGGGGTAAGATTCTCTTACCAAATGGAGTCGGTTGTTAAGCAAAGAAACTTGTAAAATCAACTTGTATAATCACTTATGAAATCATTTTCAAATCGATCACTAATGACGTTTCTATTAAGTGAGATTTGAATGCAGTTTCTCTAGAATCTCAAGACAACCCAGTTTTTGTGTGGCTTTCGCCTGTGCAACATTGTCAATAGTTTTCGATTTGAAGTGACCTGCTGACAGCCGAAATGATGACTTCAAAAGCACACCGCTGACCTCATAATAAGCCAGGCTCATCTCCACTCAAATTTGGAGCTCATCTGCCTTCAGGGAGGGCATTCGAGATTCGTTTTGGCCTCAAGATCCCAGGCAGGCAGCCTTAAAAATATTTACAGCACTCAAGTGCAATTCAAGTGCTGGGCCAAGTCGAGCGATATGCCCAACCACTTCCACGTCCAAATCCCCATCCCCATCCCCATCCCCATCCGCAACCACATCCAAGTCCGAATTCGAATCAGGCAAAAACGAGACCCCCGAAAAAAGTAAAACTCCGGCCAAGAATAACGAGCCAAAGTGTTTCTTCGTTTTTTTTTTTTTGTGTCGGATTTTGAGCATTTTTCATTTCGGAACGACAGGCGAACTGATGTTGACGTCCACGTCTGTATCCAAGTCGCAGATTGGAATTTGTGGCATCGTTTTTCGGTTTCGGTTTCGTTTACGATTTCGGCCAAGAGTCTCAGTCTCAGTCTCAGTGCGGCATTCGTACTTTGACTAGTACACAATGACAAGAGTTAAGCGATCCCAAACAAAAAGCCAAGACAATGGCGGTCATGCTCATAAAATGCCCAAATGTCATCGGGCTTTTGGAAGTATAGTATAGTATACTATTTCGGCTATACTCGTATATTCCGATCGTCGCTGTTATCGCGGGACCCTGAGAGGCGGCGTTGATTTTGATAAATGTTTAATTAATTTTGTGCCTCGCTCGAACATTAAACCTGGCTATTTTCTGACTTAATGAACAGAAATTAACAACACACTGATATCACTCTCCGGGGTGAGAGATGCTTGTAGCCAAGGGGAGACAGAAGCCAGCCAACCATGCGGAAGATCTTCAAAGTCCGCGCTTTTTTGGTCAAGTCTCCTCTCGTCTCGCCGGGCTTTTCTCATTTACATTACATTATGCTGGCTGGCTCTGGGTTCGTATTATGAATGAATGTTTACCTACACACATGTGAAAAATGTTGTAATTAGTTTTTTCCAAGTTATTTTTTTTCTGTTCCCTTCTTCGCTCAGTGAGTGATTTTCAACAACGACTGCAAATTACAAGTTATTATTAATGTTAACAAGCGAAATCTCCGTGTACTTATGTGTTTATATATGGCCGCGTGTACATATAGTGAAAACTAATTTAGCAGGGGGTCTTCCCCTTGGAATCCCCCTGATTTGTTCGAAGAGAGCTTACTATATGCACATGCCACGTACATTAATGACTGTTCTTGATTTATGCGAGTCGACCAGTGGGGAGCAGGGAGCAGGCTCCCCACCTCCACCAGCAAGTGGGTCACATGTCCCGTGGGTATTTGTACTTACAGATGCGGCTACACGAGGCACTAAATGCGGCCATAAAACGAAAAAAAAACAGAGACAACCTCCGCGGTAGCGCTGACATTACATAGAATCCGAATCAAACACAAAATACGTTCCACAATAATTATGCAAAGAGCTGCAGCGAAGAACAAAAAGCTCGTTGCACAAACGACATCGACACGAACTCATAAAATATGCAAAATGTGTGCCAGCCAGCCAGAAGTCGGCACTCGGCACTCGGCCGACAGCCAGCAACTTGTGTCAATAAAAATCAAGCTAAAGCACTAACCACCGAGCACCAAGCACCAAGCACCGCAAATGCATCCTCTGAGCATCTGGGCCCAATCCCAATACCAATCCTCTGCACTTGTTCAGCCAACTCGCCGATGCAGCTGGTAAACTGTGAGTGTGTCTCGAGTCTAGACAGCAGACAGCCAAAGTCACTTCAGATTGCACATTGCGCTTCCTGACTCCAAATGCAATGAGCCATGGCCGCGAAGGATGGTGCTCTGTCTTTTTACGGCCCCCATCCCGATATGTTTATATATTTGGGTTGAGCCAGGTTGTGTGGGATTCGGAGGAACAATAAAAAATTCATCTCTGCCATGAAAACGGCAAAACCCAAAGCTAATCAGGGTTAAATTTATTGTAAGTCCACGGGGAATTTGCATACTCCCGCGGAGATCGGATGATCGCATGGCATCATCGGATGGGATCAATAGACAAATCGGTTTATGTACTGGACTCACAAATTGGCAGGAGCAGGAAGCGGCAAAAATATGTATGGCCAGCTTTATGGTGGTCGTAAATGAGGAGAGGTGTTTGCTTCAGCATTGCTCAAATTAAAGCAGAGCTCCAGCAAAAGCACTTAAAATGCCTGCTACACATTAAAAAATAATTAGAAAACTAGTTTTATTGATATTACTATTTAAATGCAAAGAAAAGATTTTAGAATCGAACCTTTTCTCTTAGTGCATGAAAATTCCCTGGCATTAATGGCTGGTAGTAAAAAAATAAATAAGTAAAGCAAACGAAAATCAAACGGGAAAATGTCAGAGGCAAAAGTTCTCAGCCCAACCAGCAGACAAATAAATTTATGACACATGACGTTGTGGAGTACGAGTACGGACCAAAACCAACAACAACAATAACAAAAACGACAACAAAATCGACATCGAACGAGAGTGGAGTGAAGTGTAACTTCCCACTGACCCAATTTACAAGCACTTAATGCCAAAAAGGAGAAGTCGTAGAAGAAATAAACAAAGACGAAAGCCAGGCCGGGGTAATGCATATCAAATAAAGTTCAAGCGACAGCAGCAACAGCAACAGAAACAGAAAAACACCAACAAGACGACAAAAATTATGACCAAAATAGACAGCACTGGCGAACAGGAACAACAACAAAGAAATTTAAATTAAAATCCAAAAACTCCCACACATAAAAAGTCGAGAAAGAAACGCCAAATGAAAAAAAATATAATGTACACATATACTGGGAGCAGAGGAGAAAAAAAAGGTCTGTCAAAATTAAATCATTTCGGTGGCAAACAACATAAACCGATGGTTAAAAGTTGATAATGATGATGCTTGGATAACGCTCGTTATTACTATGGTTGCTGTTGTTTTTGCTGGTGTTTCTGCTGTTGTTGTCGTTGTTTGTTGTTGTTGTTGCTGCCTTTGTGGCTGTCCAGTGCGTTGGTGGCTGGCACTGACAGCGTAACAAATGCTATTTTGACAAAGTGTCTGACATGAGGAGCGTGGAAGCGCAGACCCAGAAAGAGACAAGCAACGAGAAACGAACCGCCACAATTATGCGAAAGTGAGAAAAAAATCCACACACACACACAGTGCGAAACGGGTGCTGCGTGTCTTGTATGCCACAGAAATATATTTTTGGTCGCGAGAAGAAGAAATTTATGAAAATTTCAACCGCCGATAAACACCCGCTAAAATTTAAGCGGACGAACGACCCAGAGTCCATTCCACTTGACGGCCAAGCTTCCGGTTTCTTTTTGGGTGAAATTTTCTATGCGCCTGTGGCAGATTTATGTGAGAAAACGCAACAACAGCGGCACAACATTTTTCATAGAAAATTATGAACAGCGAAACAGCGATAGTGAGCGCTGAAATTTGCATATTCCTCCCTTTTGGCGCTTTAACACCGAATACGCTGTTTTTGGCCGCATGACACGGGCAACAGACTTTTAATTATTAATATTAGACATTAGAAAATGAATAGCAACGAATAAGATAAACAAAATCAATCAGTCAGTGGTTTCACAACCGATGGGGCTTCGCAGACAAATTAACAGCTTTTATTTCATTCATTTGTCACCGTGTTTCTGGGCAAACATACTAGATTTGCCGTTAATTGAAAAAAATCTTGGTCCGTGCTTTTGGCCATGTTAAATGGACAAATGAGTGACTAATTTAAAGTCAAATAGGTAAACGAATAGCGCAGAAAATGATGTAAGATTGCTCACAGATATTAAGAGAGAAATTTCTAATAAATGTGGAATTTGACTTGTTTAATTCAAAATTAAAATAAAACAGTTAATATTAAACTGTTAATTTATTTAAAGCTGGCCTAACCTGTTATGATTGATATTTATATATTTATAGTTTCAAGTTCTATTTTTAGCACCAGCTTACATACTTCTAACGATCGCTATTGACGTTTCAACTTATTCTTAGAACACCGCCACATTTTTCATAATGTTTGTCTTCCGACGCGCACCATAATCAGTTTTTCGATTCATTCATAATTTTTTGTTGAGAGCGTTAACAAGTTCGTTGCCTAAGTCTTTTGTTCCAAGTGATCAAAAGTTAATAATACAAAAGTTACTCACGAGTGTAGTTAAGTAAAGCTTATCTTTGCCATGAGTTCGTAGCTTAAGTCTTTTGTTTGCACTGCTGAATGCGGCGTTGATTTGGAATTGCTTTTTATTAGTTTTATTTTTCCGTTTTTGTCGTTTTTAATTTAAAGTGGCGACGTTTCACTTTAATAATTTTAATACCTTGGATTTTTTATTGCCTTCGTTTTAATTAAATGCCATTAAGGTGTTTCTCTTTCCCTGAGCTCGGAGCCAATTGTATTTTTTTGTATTAGCCATCGGATTTTTGTGATAGGCAGTTCAGTGAAAAATTGTGTTGCTCCCATTTGGGATCTTATCTGAAATTGATTTCGTTTTAATTTACTGCCTGTATACACTTAAATTTCGGTTTATGGACTTCGCTGCCTTCTATCATCATCGACGGCTTGTTATTGATTATTTTTTTATATAATTTAAATAAATAAACCTGATTAATATTCATTGATGGCTAATTTATGGAGCTTGTATGTGTCAGCGAATCTGCGTGCTTCGGCCAGGTGCTAAATCCGCGGCTACCGCGGCCAAGTTCGACTAACTTTCTTCCAGCAACTGGTAAAATTATCAATTATGAAGTCATTATTATTTACAGCAAGCCAAACATGCGGCTAGCCGCTTTTGATTAATAGCTTTTCAAGCTACGGTCTTGTCAAGGGTTCGCCGTTTTCTATTTTCGCAAGCTAAAATTTTTGCGCATTTTTCTTTTTGTTTTTTTGCACAGAAGGTGTTGCCGGAACTTTTTTCTCGGCGTTTGAGTTTTTGGGATTTTGCGGCAGTCGCTGCGCAGTTCTAATTAGCTAATTATACGCTAAATTAGTATATAATTATTGCTGGCCAGGCGCTTGGCTTGCACACGCCAAGTGACTAATTCAAGCTGGCCAAAAGTTGAGGGGCGCCTAGGCGAGATTTGTGGCACCGTTTAAACTTGAGGAAGAGAAATATCTAAGTGGCAGATAAGGCTTAAATACCGTTGCGATGCGCTATCAGCGTTTTGTGAAATTTGTAATCAATTTGCCAATTTTCGGCACAAAAGACCGTAAAAGATAAGCCCAAAAACAAAGAATTTTAAATTAATAGTTTCACAAAATTCTTTTTTTTCTAAAAATTCTGTTTTGTTTTGCGGTTTTCTGGTCATGATAACCAGCCGGGGATTTCTATGGTATGTGCGTCATGACTTTCCAAATACAAAACGCCAGCGATAAAACTTGAATTTATAAGCCTGCGATAAGGCAGCGCAGCTTTGTGTCCCGCCACAAAGACTCTATAAAACTATTAAAATTTATACACATCTATACCTACATATATATAAAAACTACAGAAATTTGATTTTAATATGGTTCTGCTTTGCATAGATGTGCGGCAGGCAAGAAATTTAGAGAAATACCTACGACATAAACCAAAGACTTGGACAACGAACTTGACAACCAAACTTGCACTTACCGGTTTAAAATTGGTCAAAGTGGTCGGAAAGTTTATCCAATTTTAACAGCTTAATAAATCCACATAAATATGTACGTTTATAGTATATGATACTTTTGTATTCGTATTAAATTTTTTTTTTTGAGCCACACAAAGATTTTCATTAGTTTTTCCCAGGCCTCAGCCCATAATGACCATTATTTATGGCTCCCGATTGTTGAAGACACTCTCACACACATTTATCATCGCATCGTCTTATCAGACGAAACATAATTCTTGGCCTGCATTCATAAATTTGCTAGCCACTTTTTCATTTGCATTTGTCGGTGGTACGGGAAATATTCTTGAACAAAACTAATTCGGGCGGGTTAATTAAAAAACTGAGCTCCGTATCGCAGTTTCCGTTGGCGGTTTCCGTTTGCTGTGGTGGTTTTTTTATTGGTATTGGTTAGTTAGTGTTGGTGTTGGTGGGCGACAGGAATCGCGACGACTACGACAACAGGCGATGGAAATTTTCAACGTTGGCCGACGGCAAAAATGAACTTATACGGAAGTCGGAGAGGCGAGAAAAACATAAAACAGACGATACAAGGCGGCTCGCCAGTTGCCAGTTGCCAGACGCCAATGGCCAGAAATCTCCGCTCGAAGCTCCGAAACGCACGCAACGCTCAAACACTTGAAACTGAACTGAACTAAATCTGGCTCTTGGCTCTTGGCCAGCATGTCCAAGAAGTTGCTGGCCAACAGCAGCGGCGACGTCGACGTCGACTTCAGCCGATCCGCTGAGAGCGTGACGACAACGCCGGCAGAGCTGATCTTTATTTTCGGTATGTTTTTTTGTTTTTTGTTTTTGATTTGGGGGTTTTCGATTTTTGTTTCTGCTATTATAAGATTTGTTTGTTGTGGGGCCGGAGCCAAAGCGGTAAATGATAATAAAAGTTTCTGGCCGTTTTTTGGCCAGGCCAAAAGCAAATCAATGAAGACGCTCGGCTCTCTTCGCGCTCTATTAGCGATTCTGATGCTGATTTATGCTCTTAATATATTTGTCAATTATTTTTAGGATCGCCTGATGTTTAATTCTTTTGTCTACTGGTGTTTTCAATGGGTGGCGGGGATTATTTTTAGAGTTTGTATGGGCTGCCAAAGCATTGAGCATTAAACTGTCAGCATTTTGATATCGTTTCGCCCAATAAATTGTTTGCTTTACGACCGATTCTTCTTTAGTTTAAATCAATGGGGAGCTGTGCAAAAAAAAAGACCCTTTTGACCTCTATCTGGAAAAATCTGGTTTATTATAAGGGAAAGGCTGTGACGGACACGCCCAGACTATTGAACCTTTTTCCATAAATAACCAAGATGTTTTCTCACAACAATTATGCTGCGAATGCTGCTGCTTCTGGCCGGCCATTGATAGAAACGCTCTCATTCACATCCCTGGCCCCTTGTTTATAATTTATCAAAAGCTTTTAGTCAATGATTTCGAATTTACGATTTCGATTCGCCTCAATGGCCCCAAACTGCGACTGTATCTCTTAAAAGCCTTTCCACTCGCGGCGCGTTCGAGTCGAGCCGTAAACAGTCCATTGAGTGGAGTGCCGCAACGACCTGACCCCCATAAGCGTTTCACTAATTCATGCCACTTATTAGCCACAAAACTCGGACGACTTGCACCTGCCTCTCGGAGCCGTGCTCCATTTGGGGCATTTCAACGTCAATCAATATGCATTTGAACTCCATCAATCGTTTCTTTGGCTGTGGGATTGGATTTGGCCTGGCTTTGAGCATTTCTTTTGGCTCTTTCTCTTTCGATACGATTTTATGGCTTAATGCCGTTTTCTGGCCATTGAGCACTTAACGCTACATTTTTCTGGCCGATCGATTGGTGGATCGGATCGGGGGTTGGGGGAATATTACCTGGGCTTATTGGCTGTCTTGTATCATCATCTTGGGTATCTCGGCTATCGATGTTCATCTGTTTTGCATTTTATGGCGTCCCTGCTGACTTTTCTCACATTTCTACGCCTGAATTTCAATTTTGTTTTCATCTATTTTGGGACCAATATATATGCTGGGCTTTTATGAATTTTTAATAATTTCTTTTTATGTTTGATTTGACACCCGGGCAACGATGAGAGCGGTTTTGATATTAACGGTTTTTTAATTACCCACTGTCGGTGCCCCGAAACAAGTTCGCTGCCCAAGTCTTTTGTTCTCCGCTCGGCCAGCATGACGGCCTGACAACACCAGGCTCACTCCGCATCCAGGTCGGAAAAGTGAAATTGAAGTCTCCGTCGTCGTTGTTGTTGTCGTTGGGGGAAAAACGGGAGGCGGGCACTACATACGTATAATAATGTAAAAAACCTAGTAATCAGGGGAGCCACAAAGATCGGGGGCAGCTCATTAACTTGCCGCTTTCGTCAACCAGCCCGAATGCCGAAAAATAGCGCCATGTCATGTGGAAGTCTGGGGCTACACATATAGTTTTTTTCTTCTTATTTTGGATGGCGTCCCTCTCAAGGTGTTGCAGCTACCAGATCTACCTGACTCCCCCATCGACAGCAGCAGTGGAATGCAGCGCCCACTCGGCAAGCGTTTATTATTTCATCTTCTTGGAGCCTGCTCACCGCCCCGCTTGACCCATTTTCCTTTATGGATTTTATGGATCTCATGGATCATACACGTACATAAATCTGAGCGCGGCTCCACTGTCCCCTGGTCCCATTGTTAAGTGTAACTATTAGTTGGCTACGTTTCCAGGTCAACGGGGCAATCAATCATATTATATACAGAAGGAAATTTGTATAGTCGCCGCACAAGGAGTGGAATTTGATTTCTCTCTCTCTGTGTTTTTTTTTTTTTTGCACTTTACATGCCCTTGCGGCATACTTTGTATTGTTAAACGGACAGCTAATGGCGGAAACTAAACAATCGGAATTTTTTATTGTCAACCATAACATATCGGTATATGCTAGGCCAGGAAAAGTATAATATTCCATTCTATTTGCAGATAAATATCTCTATTTTTAGGCCTTTATTATCAAGACTTTAAGCCATTAAGCAGTATCACTCATAAAAAGCATGCTTCAAAAAGAAACCCACTAATCACTTTTTTGCCAAAATGTCATTCGTCAAGAGACCCCACAAACGGAAGTCCGTTCACGAGAATTAAAGTTAGACATCCAAACAGCCAAACAACAAACAACAATCGGCAAATAAATAATAGTTATGCACTAAGCAAATATATCTTTTAAATTATGGTTTTGCTATTTATTCTGCCAGTGGCTGGCTTCTTGTCTTCCTTATTTACCCAAGACAGCTCGTTTGTAGCCGATTTGCTATACATTTTTCGGAATTCCTTTGGGTCAGTGCTACTGCGGGTATTTTCACCACTTGGCGTTAGATTTCCCAGCATATTTCTACACAGAAATCGGCGCAGGAAGCGCATACCAGACTGGCATGGAAAGATAAATAAAAAGCTGCACATTCACGATGCTGACCGGTGGCGGTGTGGCTGTTATGAAAATGAGTTTAAGTTTTTGTTTGTTTGTTTTCTAAATGAACTTTTCACCAAGCGGATGTCGAGTGTTTAGCGGAAAGTGAAAAGTGCTGCTTAAAATGACTTAGTTTGCAGGTTTCGCCTTGCCTTGCGGAAGTCGCAGCAGCAGCCGCTAACTATGTTCCCCAACAACAACAAGTTGTTGTCTATCATGGAAAAGCAATTTCCATGCCAATGATTTATGAGCCGCTTAACCGGCCCATTACAATCTTATCTCTCGGCTATTATGTACACCGTTTGAGCTGACAAAATATATTGTGCTCGAAATCTAAAGCTGCCACGCTAAACTTCAAGTTGAATCTGAATCTCGAGCTTTAGCTGACGCTGACATGTCGCGCTTATCGCCGCCAAACTATCAAGAGACACCAGACAAAAGCCGAAAAGACCAGGCCAAAAAAGCCCAAAGAGCCAAAAGACCCAAAAACAAAAACAAAAACAATAAGCCTGGGCTCAATGTGTGTGTACACAGTGTGTCTCAATTGTTTGCCACCACGCACGCGCGCAATTACTTAAACATGTCCAAGTCCGCGTCCACGAGTGGAGCCCACATTTGCCAGGTGCACTGCCTCCGTCCCGTCGTCCGTCGTCAGTGTGCTTGTGTGTGGGTATCCTATGCAAATGCGAATGCAGTCTCAACTCATTGAATGACCCTCGTTAGGCGCCCCCTTGCCCTCCGCCCCTTTTGCCCCCGCTGCCCCATAATCTTTCCCCGGAGTCTGTCACGCTTTGTTTGGCCTGTCAAGATGACAAGTGTTTGCTTTGCTTTTGCCTGCTCCTCGACGCAGCTGGCGCTCCGGCCATGTAAACTTGACATTTGATAGCATTTTAATTAAAAAGAAGTCGAACGGAGTTGCTGGAAAATTTATGACGCCGCACTAAATCCCGAGCATGTGCGTGGTGGTCACTGGTCTATGCTCTCTGGTCCCTGGTATCTAAAAACTATTTTTGTTATTTTTCTGATTTTTTTTTTTTTTTTCTACAACTCCAAGATCTGTCTATAGATCTTAGAAATTATATCACGCAGAGCTCGGATCTGTGGAGGTGGCTATGGCGATTTTGAGGTGTCGGTCGGGGGATCGTGGGGCGTTGTCCGTGACCGTGTGGCTAGCCCAGCCGAAATGAGGTCGAAATTATTTGCAATTTATTGAAGGCAATCACAATGCCTATGAACTATATTTCCAAGCCTCAAACTCTTGTGGTTGTTGTTTATTAGTTCTTCAGCTGGCCTTTTCATTGAGCCATGAAATTCCGTTCTCTCGCCCCTCAAACCTCCCCGTTTCTTTCTTCGTTTTTTCTAAGTTAATTTTTATGTTTACTCTTTTTTCCGCAAGACATTTCTGCAGATCGTGTTGGCCAGCTTGAGGAGCTGTGGCAGAAGTGCCGCGGAGATTGATAGGAATGCAGCTGGATGTTAGGTTGATTGGAATAATGGCATGGCCGAGAGTTATGTGGGCACATTTATCTGCTTTGATTGCCTTTATAAAATATTTTACGGCAAAAAGTGTAAGATAATCTTTATGCAGTTGCCAGCACGTTAAAGATTCGAATGAAGGATGCCGAGTCTAACTCAAATATCAACTATAATTTATGTTACCCGAAAGAGTACCCAAATATTGGTAAAACCCCTGAAAAAATTCACCACTCACGACTCTCGGCCAATCTGTTGCCCTTCTTGTCTCTGTCATTTTTGCCTGCTTTTGTGAATTGAGTTAATTTCGCTGGTAGCGGGTGGTTGATTAAAACGGAAATGTCGTGCGTTTAGCTTAATGATCTTCAACGCCTCGCCTTTAACTCGTTCGTTTTCAAGTCCAAAACAATTTGCATCCCCCGAGGGGTTTAAATCCCCAGTCTAAATATGATGCCTCACCCATATTCCGTGCGAACCCTTGAATTTTATTTGTGTGATTTGAAAACTGCAAAACGCTTTTCATGCTTTTCATGTTCAACGTGATCTGCGCTGATCTCTTCGCATCTCCATTTTCATTTCGATTTTCCAGCTCCGAGATATTTCCCGTTTAGTTTTTGCGCAGGTGTTGGCTTTGGATTCGAAAATAGTGCAAAATCGTGCTGGCGATATTTGTACGTGATGCCATGTTGTAGGTGTCGGATCAGGAT